CCTCTCCCACGCATCGACGACCTTCTCGAGTGATTGGGCGGCGCCCAATTCTTCTCTAAGCTGGATCTCAAGTCAGGGTACCACCAACTCGAGATTCGCAAGGAGGATCGCTACAAAACCGCGTTCAAGACATGGTATGGGCATTTCGAATGGCTGGTCATGCCGTTTGGCCTTACGAATGCCCCAACCACTTTCCAAGCGGCTATGACAACGGAGTTCCGACACATGCTGGATCAGTTTGTACTCATCTACCTCGACGACATCTTGGTGTATAGTCGGAGTTTGGACGAGCATGTGGAACACCTGYGCACCGTTTTGGAGCGGCTACGACAAGCCAAGTACAAAGCAAACCGCGACAAGTGCGAATTCGCACAACAGGAGGTGGAGTACTTGGGACACTATGTAACGCCGCAAGGCATCCGTCCGCTTGCGGACAAGATTGAGGCCCTACGAGTATGGCCCGAGCCCACCAACACCACGGACGTTCGTTCATTCATGGGGTTGGCGGGCTACTATCAGCGATTCATCACCGGATACTCTGGATTGCTGCACCTATGACGAGGTTACTGTCGCCAAAGGTGCCATTCGTATTCGATGACGAAGCATGTCGGTCATTCCAAACACTTAAGACGGCTATGCTCATGACACCCGTCCTTAGCATCTATGACCCCACCCTGCCGACGCGAGTGACTACGGACGCTTCCGGCTGTGGCATTGGGGCAGGCTTGGAACAACATGACGGCGACGACTGACACCCTGTGGAGTATTTCAACCACAAAGTGCCTCCCATCAACTCGCGTGATGATGCAAGGAAGAAGGAGCTGCTCGCATTCGTGATGGCTCTCAAGCGCTGGYGGCACTTCCTCCTTGGGCGTCGCAGGTTCACATGGGTCACAGACAACAAWCCATTGACCTACTACAAGACGTAGGACACGGTGAGCAGCACGATCGCACGATGGATGAACTTCATCGACCAATTTGACTTCACACCRAARCATGTCCYCGKCCTCTCCAATCGCGCAGCAGATGCACTCTCGCGAAGACCTGATCTTTGCGCTATGACACATCATGCCTTCGCATTCGACGAGGAGCTTCAGCGACACTTCATCCGGGCATATCAGTCTGATCCGGACTTCGGCACGCTCTATGCACAACTTCGGCACGCTCTATGCACAACTATCTTCGGATCACCCGCCGGCCAGCCATTACCGCATTGCCGACGGTTACTTGCTCCTCCACTCGAGAGGCAAGGACTTACTATGTGTCCCACGCGACCGTCGTCTTCGGATTCGCCTCCTCGGCGAGTACCATGATTCACCACTCGCCAGCCATTTCGGAGTCAACCGCACTATTGCACGGCTTCGACAGCGATTCCGATGGCCTGACCTCATTACCGATGTCACTCGGTATTGCGACTCTTGCGAAGTTTGCCGACGCAGCAAGCCCTGCAACCGCAATCCCTACGGCGAGTTACACCCGATGC